ACTAGACTGGGTGGGCGACCAAAGGGAAGCCGCTGAATAAACATGATCAGGCGTGGTGATTGAGTGAGAAAGACCTTTCTCTTCTCCCCTTTTAGCTGACCCGTGCTTGCTCATCATCATTGCTTTTTACCTCTCTACCAACGTGCGTGTTCCTTCTCATTTAGCACAGCTAAATTTTTCAGGATTTGTTACACATGTTCCCTGTTTACGTATCTACAGTCAACCTATTACGAGTATGCTTGGTTGCTATATTCAATAATCGTTTGGTTATGAAGAATGTCCACTGTACGCGCTAATCCGACACGATATTTATTGATTCATGCGTTTATTCTTTAGTGTGAATTAGTTGTATTTGTTTAGAATCAGTTCTCGATCAGTACCGGATTGTTCACTGCCCATTGCAGTTAAAAAACTTAAACAACGCACAGAATTTATGCATTTCATATGTGAACTTTATCAGATAAATTAATTGTGTACGATAATAGTTATTGGAAAGGGGTGGTGGGGATAGCATGTGACGGAAATGATGGAGCATGAGAGGCTGGGGATCGATAACACACGTATGTGGGGGTATTCAAATACAAACACAACACTTGATAGAACCAGGATGATGAGAAATGGGAGCGAATGTATTCGGCAGTGCGAGGGGTAGGGTAGGGACAAAAGTCAACGTGGGAGTAGGCAGAGTAAAAAAACGGATCAGAATGGTAACAGAATTACTGAAGGTCACACAGACACAATAAGCTCAATAAGACCGATCATTGTCAAAACAAGGCCGAATGTAGAATTAATTCACTTTTCGACGTCCAGCATCCACAGCAGTTCGGGAGGCCTGAATGATTGCGTATTTCGACAACAGCACAATTCCCAGAACCAGCATCATTGCTGACAGATCGGATGGTTGATCTATCATTTCACGCAACCGGGTGAGAACAGGAACAATTGAACTCGAGTGATGCGCTTGAGAAACCTATATACAATGACGGGACGAACAGTGACAGTGATTCTTAATTAGATTGTAGAGAAACGATATGTGAGAATTATTCAAACTGATATTGAGTTCCTCGGGCTCTATGGTAGTTATATAGCCTGTATAAATAGAGATCGAAAGATGCATAGAAGTGCGAGTAGCGCGAGACAAAATCACAGAAAGATCACCTATGAAAGAAGTGAGCAATATTTAGTGGTGCAAGTGGCGTTCGCCGTATGCAGAATATAGGCTTTGTAGACTGCACACGTATCTACCAAATGATACATTCGCGCTATGCATGACCCCCTACTCCTGTGATAACAACGCATGCTGATTGAATGGGTTCCAGGAAAATTGAGGAACAATATAAACCGATGAACATTCGAATTGATGTGGACGACACAATACAATCGCGAAAACAAAACGGAGCTCGAACAATGAACAGAACAGGAAGGCCTGGCATTCAGTGGTATCACTCATATGAAAGTCTCTCTTGGTTCTGGGGTTCGAGTGAGTGAGAGAGAACCACTGGAAGCCGCATGATATTAGTTAACTTTAACTGAGTGTTCTGTTCACTGACATTGCATTGGGCAGGTAGAATCCTCAAGTTTCTAGGCACGGTTGTTTCGCAGGACTTCTCTTTCCGACGCTTTTTTCATCGCTGTTTAATCGATGGAGTCCCAAAAGTCGGGTTGAGCCAGAACCGGAGGTACGTATTATTTATCGATTTACCGTCTAGATCACATAAGTCCCGTTAGGCTCCCTCGATTGGGACCTCGGAATGGTCGTACTTGATGGTTAGAGATACAGAGTGATATGGCTGGGNGGGTGTTGTAAACATTGGCGTTCGTGTATCTTCTTGATTTCTCTGTATCATTAATCTACTGAGCTTTCAATTTTCTCTTCGATCCTGTTTCAACCTTTCCTGTCTTTCTTTTAATGTTCATCCAAATGGGCAGCCGAAAGATAGCAACCGCAACCGGCGCACGATAGTGCATGGTTAATGGTTGTACAAAATGAACTACACTGAACTACCGTTCTCTCTCCAGCGCACGGAGATTAACAACAATAGATGAAACTTTTATACGAAATTGAGAACCAGTTTTACGACTCTCTCAACCCCTGCATATGGAAAATGGTCAGGTAGGAAAACTATTGGAACCAATGGCACTATTAGTCACTTGAACACAAAGGCTACCGGTTTTAATGACACCGTGTTCAGTCAGGAAGAAATGAGAAAAAGCGACCGACAAAGACTAACGTCAGAACCTGTGAATGTGTAAAGAAAAAGCAATCGCCATTCTCAATTTAAAGCAAGATGTCGTCATGGAGGAAATTATCACAAAAACTTAGTACCCAACTGATTAACTAGGATACAAACAAATGCGAAAAGTGTTAGCACTGTGAAAGTCACAGATCCATGGACACAAGCAAGAAAGTGAGTGCATTTTACAAGTTATTCATCAAGCCGCCTCCAAAAGCCTCAGTATGGTCGAGGGTGGGTGTCTAGGGTTGCGGCTGGTCACCCTGCCCTTGCATCTCGCGAAATGCTCCCATACGAACAAGCGTCTCCAATAGCCTCTGCTGAGGAAGCCCTACTCACTGCCTTCTCGTGGCAGGTGTTTTTCCACCAAACTGAGAGGACGAAAAGCCGACATCCAGAGCTACAACCGGGTTGGTGAACCACTGGTAGTTCACATAGGGGAGTTGGCTAAAAACCTTGATTCCAAACCAACCAAGAGGAAGCGTACGAACCACACTCACCTACACTCTCCTC